TAAATGTGGGATGCCCAGAAAGGAGAGGAACGAAGTGTGGTTAAACAGCCCAGCCAGCCGCCCAGGAAAAGCAGCCCTGAGTGGCGCAGTGAGAATCAGGACTCCCTTAATGAAGCGCCCTCGCTAGCTGTTCTCAACCAGCAACTAAGTTGGTATTCTGCTCCTTGGACACCCGGGCAGTGTCCACACGACAGAGGTCTACTGGATGTGCGGGTCAATAAATAGAAAGGAAGCCAGCCACCTGTTTGAGGGCAACGTGCAATTCAATCTCCCATCTATATAAATGGCAGGTTGAAAGCTATTCCTGGAGGCCCAAAGAATGAACTACAGAGCAAGCAGCACTTATGCTCAAGCAGGGCGGTTTCTGTGTCTTGGGTTTTTTTTTTTTTTGAGAGAGATTTTTGGTATAAGGCGTGTGTGCTCACTGGAGAGACAGGGAGACAGAAAGCGAGAAATCAGACCCCAAGGGGAATGGCCATGCTGTAATCCCTTCTCCATTCTCCTCTGGGGTTTTGGGTACATGTACCTGGTGTGTTTTAAGTCGCCAAGCCCAGGACTCAAACTATGGTCAACTACATGGGAGTCCAATTATGTGGGAGTCCAGCGACATAATTACGCCATCTGCTTGTCCCCTTTCTGTCTTGTTTTTGGCTACACGTCTTCTCGCCCCCTGAGCACCACTGACACCGGGTTCCCCAATACACCCTCTCACCATCCACCATAGAAAGGGCCTGAAATCTCAATGATCTCACCTCTACATGGGACTCTGTGTTCACAAAGGGTTTGGGAAGAGACTGATGGTAAGAGGGGCCATTTGAGGTCACTCGCACAAGCCTGGAGGACATTATGCTGAATGAAATACACCACAGTGATTTGAGACTGTGGGAATCTCAACACCTCGGGCCTGCAAGGTTCCCTAAGATGTGAAGCACCGTGCAAAGTGAACCGTGGTGGGCAATGAATGAAAATAGTAGCTATTTCACATCAACTTTACTCAACAGTGAGTCAACTTCTTAGAAAAGATTTCTTTCTTTAAAATTGTTTTTTATTTTTTTTTTTTTATTTGCCAGAGAGCACCAGAGAAAGACAGAAGCCACCCCATACCAGCAGGGTGTGGTTATGCTACAACCTCTCCTTCTCTATTCTCCCATTCCGTTGGGCTTTGGGGTACACTCACACACGCATCAGACATGTTTTTCAAACCACTATGGCTGGGATTCAAACCACGGATGGCCAGTGGAATCTGGCTCCCTTACCAACTAGGCCATGAGGCAGCCCAGAAAAAGAACCTCCAACAGGGTCCCAATGCCATGATCCATGACCTTTGACCATGGGTACACACGTGCCTGATGTATTTAGGGAGGTCTCCAGGTGTGACCCAGAGTTTCCTCATGTGGACCAAACAGCCTACTGGAGCATTGAATTTGGCCACGGTGCCACCATCAGACCCAGAGATTTCTACAATATCAGTCTGCACAGGGAGCCTGAAAACAAAAACAGCAGTAGCCGAACCTGGTACGTGGGCTGAGCTTTGTAGTTTTAGGAATTTGTCAGCAGTGACAGAGAAGGTAACAAAGTACCAGGCATATTTGGCTTAATGGGACAAATTGCATGGGATTTATGACAAGGGCCAGGAGAGTAGAAAACTACAAACCTCAAGGGACACTGATTTATGAAAATTAAAAAGGTGCAAAACTATTCACAAAGTAGAATTCTCAATGGAAAAATGGGGGGGGGAATTATATCTCCAAGGTCCTAAATAGGTAAGAGGCCCAGGGATTCACAGGAAGAAAACGCACACTTCTCACCACGCTTTCTCACTGAAAGACTCGCTTTTCAATTTATCTCCACACACTCAGCTCAAATCAGTGCATGTTCTGACATGGGAAAACCAGCCCCGGAAACGGAAATACAGGAGCCCTGATTAAGACACTGCATGGGGGGGCCAGCAAGTGGCGTGGTGGTTAAGGTGCTAGACTCCCACATGGCTGACTATGGCTTGAATCACACTGGGTGTGATCGTGCAGTGTGTGCCCCAAGTCGCCAGGACTGTGGTGTGGCCATCTCCCTGGGGCAGTGATTTCTCACTTTCCCTCTGTCTCTTTTTATCTTTCTCCAATGAGCACATCCAACCTATGACAAAAACGTAAAATAATTAAATAAAAAAAAGAAGAAAGAAAAGGAAAAGGGAATGAAAAGAAAGAAGGAAGGAAGGAAAGAAAGAAAGAAAAATGAAAGGGAGGGAGGAAGGAAGGAAAGAAGGAGAAAGAGAGAGAGAGAAGAAAGAGAAAGACAATGCATGAAGGCTCTCTGGTCACCAGCCCCTGGGGCTCACCAGCTGTCCTCCCTCTGAGCTGTCTGAAACCTCGCTGAGAAAACGTGAAGCACTGGGAAGAGTTTTCATCTTCAGTCTCCCTGGAAGCCCACCTTTGGGGATCCAGTGGTCATCCTGACACAGCCACATGATGTCTACCAGTATCTATGATGTAAATGGGCCAGAACTACCTCTGCTGCCTCCCCAGTTCCACTTCCCTCTACCATCACCCCATCTTGGTAGTTGCCAACACCACCACCTGCATCCTCTCTGCTTTCCTCAGACTCCACCCCAAGCCCATTGGGGAGCAGATGGACCCCGCCTCCAGCCCACACTCCCACACTCCCACTTTCCTCCATTCCCACTACAGCACCTTCTTTGGTGCCACCATCTTGGCCTGGAGGATGGTAATCACCTCCTCACTGAATCACCTGTGAATTTCATCCTTTTGCCCACACCCACTGGGCATCCACATCGACGTTCATCACAAACACCATCAGGCCTCTCTCACCCCACTGCACATCACCTCAGTATTCCTGCCATGCCTGTCCTCCCATAAGTCTGTGAAAGATGAGGCTTGTTCCTGCCTTGTGCATTGTACTGACTACTCCTCTCTAGAGTGTTCTTCCTCAGAAAGTGAGAGACCCTTGTCACTTCCTCAAGAGGCATCCCAGACCCACCAATCTATAATCGTCACACTCACTTTCTAGCACATTATCTTATTTCAATTACCATGGTCTGATATTTTTCCTGCTTATTGGATCATTTTGTCTGTTTCCATGAGAGCTGAGACTTGTCTCTGACTATACTCCCAGTGTCTAGAATGAGGCTCGCCTGCAAGGTGTACTAGATAAATACCGCTGAGTAAGGAAAATCTTCATCCCTCTCAAATGATGGTCAACCCCTCGGAGACTGCCAAGTGGGATGAGAAAATTGTGACAGCCTTAACTTGAAAGACGAATATACAAGAATGTGGCCGGTCAGATTAGTGAACTCATGGGGTGCCCTTGAAAGGGAGGTATTTGATATTCATGTGTTCCTGCCATCTCTGCTCTCTTTTGGAATGCTTTCTGTTTTGCCTCAAAATAGAAAATGAGTACTAGTAGGTGGTGGTGATGGTGATGATGAGGACAGTGATGGTAGTGATGATGGCGATGGTGGTGATAACGATGATAATGAGGTGACGGTAGTGATAATAATGATGGCAATGATGATGGTGGTGGTGATGATGTTGGGGTGACGGTGGTGGTGATGATGATGAGGTGATGGTAGTGGTGATGATGGTGATGATAACAGTGGTGATAACAATGATGGTGATGATGTTGATGGGATGATGGTGACGGTGGTGATGATGGGGATGATGATGAGGTGATGGTGGTGGTGATAATGTTGATGGGGTGATGATGATGGGGTGATGTGGTGGTGATGATGATGGTGATGATGATAGGGTGATGGTGGTGGTGATGATGATGGTGGTGATGATGGTAGTGATGATAATGATGGTGATGGTGGTGATAATAATGATAGTAATGATGTGGTCATGATGATGGGGTGATGGTGGTTGTGATATTGATGGTGAAGATGATAGGGTGATGGTGGTGGTGATGTTGATGGTGTTGATGATAGGGTGATGGTGGTGATGGTGTTGATGGTGGTAGTGATGATAATGATGGTGATGGTGGGGGTCATGATGTTGGGGTGATGGTGATGATAGTGGTGGTGATGATGTTGGGGTGATGGTGGTGGTGGTGATGAAGGTGGTGGTGGTAATAATATCGATGACAGTTACTATTTTATAGTGTCCCTAATTATGGACCCCAGACACTCTGTATAATAGTCCCAGCCTCAAAATGACTCTGGCCAAGCAAGCAGAGTAGTCTGCACTGTCAAAGGAAATTAACAGTGACACGGAGGGAGAAAAACACTGGCCAGCCATACAGCTAGCAAGTGGCAGGACTGATGGCTGAAGTCAGGCCTGAGCCAACACTCATATTTCTCCCACTTGGCCATACTTTGAAAGAAAGTGAACTATGGTTCATGCCAAATCCACTCATCTCCAGCAGCAGCAAAGATAAATTCTGAGTGAACATCCTGGTTTCACAGAAGAGAGCGGCTTCCCAAAACGGTCTCAGGCTGTGATCAACGTAAGATGAAAACTATGACGTTAAGGGGTTATAAGCCCCATTCATTTCATAGCACAGCTTAAAGAAACCAGGCTTTAGGGAAAACATGCTATTTCCCCCCCACCCTTTTTTTTTTTTTTTTTTTTTTACAATGTGTGTTTGTGGTTATTTTTTAGATTGTCTCACTGCACCACGATCCTCCTGCCTCAGCTTCTCCAGTAGTTTATGTTCCATGAAATATAACCCACTACTAGTTACTAGTAGCCCCAGCTACGAGTGTGCCATGGTGGCCTGCTTTTCAGGGTGGCCCAGGAGTCGAATCTGGTCCCCCCATGTGGCCTCAGTCCACCAAGCAGCAGCCTCCAGCATGGGCTGCCACAGTGGAGCTGTCCTTTCCCCTGGTTTTGTAAGCAGGGCCAGGGGAGAGGAGGGCTAAACTGTTAAGCACAGAACAGATGCTGGTCAAGTAAATATTATGAAAATGTTTAATTAATTTAGAACATTAATGTTCTCTTTTCCTCTGTACCCTGCAGCAAAACATACCCAGTTTCCAAACCACTAACCTTGTGAGTTCTTCTTGGAGTTGTGTGTGGTCAGGTGGAAAGAATTTCACCACAAACTTAACGACAACATGCTTTGGCCCTAAAGAAGAAAAATAAAAAACATAAAGTGTTTATTGATGTGTGTTTCAAACACCATTAAAGAGAAGGCCTTTATGGGCATCTTCCTGAGCAAATAATGCATCTCATTCTGAGCCCCAGGAGTACACCTGCCGGCCTCCTGGTCCGTTATTAACAGGCCAAGCTCAGGCACTAATTCACGCTTCCACGTTGTGGGGAAACACGGATCTATTCCTTGAAAACACTGTGACACGGGTATTCCACAGAGCTATTAAACTTTCTCTGGAGACTTAAATTACACTCAGGTTTTTAAAAGTCATTCATCTTCAAAAATGTACATAATCAGCTGCTTTTATCCAAATATAGACGTTAGGTAAGTTCAGGAGGAGCTAGTGAACATGTAAGTCAGTTATACGATGTGTTATAGTTAATAATCTACCAGGTACAGTGCTCATCCGCTCACCAGATGTGTTTCTCACACTAGGCGCTCTCCTGAGCTCTAGACAGACAACGTAACCAGGACAGAGGCCCTGCCACTGTCATGTGAGTCTAAGCCTTTACAAGGGTCTTTTCAACCATGTCACCCATGAGTTAAGAACCAGTCAAAAAGCAGATGGTGGGGCGGGCAGAGAGACTGTGAATGAGATGCTTAACTTTCCAGCATTAAAAGAGGGGTCAGCATGGGACCAGCAGATGGCATAATGGTTACATTACTGGACTCCCACATAGTCAACTGTGGTTTGAGTCTCAGACCCGGCTTGAAACCCACACCGGGTGCAGGTGCATGTGTGCCCAAAAATTCCAAGAGGAGACTGGAGGAGAAAGGATTGCAGTGTGGCCATCCCTCCTTGGGGATGATTTCTCGCTTTCTGTCTCGCTGTCTGTCTCTCCAGCCCTATAGCAAAAGCTTCTCTTTAAAAAAAAAAAAAAAAAAAGAGGGGTCAGTAGGTTGTGTAGTGATTAAAGGTGCTGGACTTCCATGTGGTGAACCATCGTGAGTCCCAGATCTGGTACCTTGAAAATCATGCCAGGCGCATGTATGTGTGTGCCCAAAATCTGAGGGAGAGAATGGAGGAAGAGGGATTGTGGCATGACCATCCCTCCGGGGGTGATTTCTCACTTTCCTTCTCACTGTGTCTCTCTCTCTGGCAAGCTCACACACCCTGTATCAAAAAATCTAGGGAAAAAAAATAATTGAAATAAAAACAGAACACCAGATCAATTCTAATTAATAATTTGTGGCCTAGGGCAGATTTTTCTGTTCAGACAGAGTATAACGTAAGGACAGGCAGGCTCCTCCACTTGGGATGGCAGCACAGAGTTGACATCTCCTGAAATTTAAGGCGCTGTAATGGCATCCGAATTCTATCAGTAGTATTTAATAGCAGAAAATGTCTTTCCTTTTCCTCTTCATAATCACATACAACAAAGTGGATTTTATATTAATCCTGTGATCACACATTCAAGTTTATTCACACCCAGAAACTGCAATGTATCACAAGGTGGAGATGTCAACAATACAGACAAAACTAACAGAAAACACCAAGGTACAGACATTCTGATGGCAGGTGAGGCTGAGCTTCTCTTCCCTAAAAGTATCTAAAATTTAACATCAATCTTTGCATGTCAATTCTGGAGCACAAAATAACAGAGACAAAATGAGGAAATCGGGAAGGCTGTGCTATTTCCTGTCTGCAGTTTTCACAGACAGAGGATTAAATGAGACAACTCAGAACTGAAGCTAGGAAGATGCTAGCAATCAATGCAAAGTGACAGCTTTGTCACACAGGACTAGTTCCCGCAGAAGGAGGGGACACAAAGATAATGGCCCAGCCCAGCCCTGGGTCTGACCTGACTGTCTGCAGGCTGCCCTTGTGCTGGGAGGTACCTTTCGCCATGAGCAGTTCCTTCTGTGAATCCATGTTAAGGACAAATGTCAGCCTCCAGACTGCTCCCCCTGCCATCAGGCCTGGGGCTGCTCTCAGCAATCTCCCCCCACACCAATTGAATTCTTGCCATCCAGCCACCCCGAGGACATGCAGCAAACGTTAAACAAACAGTGGCTGCTTCATTTTCAGCATCAATAACTGCTTAATTTAAATTAGAGAAGATCAACATCAATTTCCGTTGCATAAAGGCCATTCAGACACTGTGTTGCATGTTTATTACAGACACATAAATTGCTGAGAGTGGCCCAGTGGGGTTTCTTAATCAGACGTAAAACAACCCCAAAGGTATTGTGAGCTTCCTGCTCAGTTGAAGGGATGGGGTTTTTTGCCTAGTGTCTGGCTGCAGTGAGGAATCATTTGGGATGAACTTGAGATCCTGAACTTGACCCCAGAGCACAGACAGACGAGGGGATATTCCAGAGCAGAGGTGAGATGGGGAAAACACGAAAGTGTTC